CAACCTATAGAATGTGTGTGATATTACTCGCTGTACTGAATACGAAATTTTAAAATAATTCTGTAAATTTAATTAAATATATTCATAATATTCATATTTAACTTTCTAAAACTTAATTTTTTTAAAGTATATACGAAGTGAATTTATGTGTTTCCTATCGAAAATAAAACATAAATTTCTTCTTTTGCTCTTAACACTTAAAAATTGTATACAGAATTTATTATTTAATAAATTAAAAATGACTAAATAATAAAATAAAATTTAATTTAATTTATTAAATACTAATCAGTCGCTATTAATTAAATTAAATTTATAAACAATGCGCGTATACCTTAATTTATTTAGAATTAAAAATGATTTGTAATTTTTCAGAAGTATATTTATTGATTTTTATTAGTAATTTATATAATTGTAAATTGACTGATTTTGTTTAATGAGGCTATTAAATCACAGAATATGTACATTAGCATTTCATTTCAAATAAATGGTCTTTCAAGTTAATCTTATTTTAATAATAGGCTTTATGCAGAGTAGCTCCAAAATTGCTATTTAAATGAACTTTACTGCGTTCAAAATGTCTTCATTTTAAATATAATTTTTAAATATAAAAATTTGATTTATTTATTTCCTAATTTTATTTATAAAATTATCAATAAATAACTTATAAATTGCAATTTTAAAAAATGTATAGAAATTAATGGATTTTTTTTGTCATTTTTAGAGAAATTATTAGTTTAAAGAAATATTTTAGTTTATTATATTATTTATTAATTTATTTAATTTTTATTGTTTAAAAATTGGAAATATTTTAATAAGTTTATACAAATATCAAACGTTCTGACTGATTTGTGATGTACAGTACTTATGGGGGGTGATGCGGGTGTTGGATCTCCTAAGAGGCTTTAGGAATAAAATTTAAATTAAAAAATGTATAAAATAAATAAATAAATGCTTAATTTTTCTTCTTTCTGATCACTCCCAGAGCAGAATCTCAGTTGGGCCACATTTTGTGAATAAAATTTTTTTTAAATTTAGTTTTAAAATTAGGAAAATTCATTTATATAAACTAAGGAATTTAATAATAATAAAATTAAGTCAATATTTCTTAAAATATAATAAATTTATAGCGATAAAACTACTAAATTCAAAGATTGTCCAGAAAAATGTACTGCCACTAATCTGCTTAAGATTAAGGAATAACAGTAGTTATTTTCTTCTATATACTACATGAATTTTGCAGTTCTATCTTATAAATTACAATACGATACGTAATAATGACAAATAGGCCATAACTTTGGATAAAATATAGAAAAATAAGCACCACTAAACTTAATAAAGAACGGCACACTTTCCTGAAGTTACTTCTGAATTTTCTAGTTCTATTTTTAACGTTTATATAGAGATTTTTATAATTATAGTTTAAAATTTAATAGAATAAATTATTTATCATAAAATGAATATTATCTGACAAGGAATAATTTAAATATCACAATAGTAGACAAATTTTTCCCTATACAGTAATCATGAAATCTCAGACAGATCTTTACAGATTTTTACTTTAAGCATAGAAGTTGCATGTTAAATACACAGAGTTAACCGTTAATGGAACAAGATATCGAGAAATCTTTTAAAAAGTTTGAGTGTTATAATTGTCATACTGAGCAAAGATCTCATCTTGAACAATGTAGGCCTATATAAAGTTTTCAAGTAATAAATTATTTGAATAAGATGGTAATTTAGTTTTTACAATAGTTAACTGGATTTTGGGTCTTCCTGTATCATTTAAAAACATTTCAAAAAGTTTTTAACTGATAAGATTCAGATATAGGCCTAAATCTTAGGCTGCTAAACAGATCTTCGGATTTTTTGTGATAATGATAATACATTTGCACGAAGTTCTTTTTGAAAAAGATATAAAGATGTGAAAAATTAGAGTGAAGACGTGAAATCCCAGGATAAAAATAAACCTGTTAAAAATAAATTCCGAGTTGAAAAGCATGAGAAACATACTGAAGTACTGCACTGCATAAGGTAGAGTAAGAGGTTTAACTAAAATTCTACTTCTTCAAATTATGTAGTTGGGCAGTATTTTCTATGCCAAGATCCACGGAAACATTTCTCGAAATAAATTACAAATATTAAAGAATATTGAGCGTGAGAAAGTCGCCATCGAGTACAGTACATAAGTCGAGAACTTATCAGCAGAAGACTTATTAGAAACTCTGGTTGAAATTCAGCATTTATTTCCAAAATAAATGGTGAGCTTGAACTAGAAGATGGTAGTTCCTACACAACGACATCGAAGCAGATACGAATGACAACGTAATAACCGAATGGGGTTAACTACGAAAGCAGTAATTACTTCAAATGTTGTAGCTGCAAGCCATAAAATACAGTCAATTAATGGTTTTGACAGTTTGGAAAATGTACAAGGAATTAAGGCATTTTTTTTTTAATTTTTACCCACTCGTCTCCTGTTACGAGGTAATAATCCCGGTCTCGAAAAACTCCGGGTCTTGAAATAAACCCCTGAGGATACGTACGTTTTAAAAATAAATCGAGATTTAATCGAGGAAATATAATATATACACTGTACAAGTACTGTATATGAGACTAGCATAGAAGATCTAACGAAGGAACTTGTAATTGTAGTGTTAATACAGAACAAATTTCACAAGTACAAAGTATATTTATATTTATAGAAATAAATATGAACATGAATATGATACAAATACATGCACTGCATACATACACGAGGTCATCAGCTCTAATAGATGAGTCACAAATTACAATACCGACACAGAATTCTGTTCATCAGATAATTTTCATTTTCATCAGATTTTTCTAAAGATACAAAAGAATCTTTAGAAAAATAATTATAGATTATTCCAAAACATAGAGTTTTTAAGGGGTTAAATATACTATAAGCCTTTATTTTTTAATAACACTCCTTGCTTTAAACATAAACTCTGATAAATAGACACAACTTCCAGGATCTACTGATATTATTTGACACAAAAAAATTATCTCAGAACAGGTCTCCATTTAAAGAATTAGATTAAATTTAAATATTTCTAGTTTATATTTTATTAATTTCTTTCTGGAGGTCTCAGTTACTTTAATCATTTGTTTAATGCATGCAAATCTTTATTATGTAGACCTACAGGAGTGTAATTTCATTTAAACTGTATCTAACAGCAGGTTAATGAACCTCTGAATCCAGCTGTTATTTAACTATGCTCGATATCCTAATCTAAGATACAGTTGGTAATATATAATAATCATAATCTACATATATTTATGCTAATTTTATAGACTGCTTCTGATTAACATTATATTTATTTATCTCATTGCTTAATATCAACTTAAGCACTTTCTCTCGAACATTTCTTATGAATTTCTTTTATTAATTATTATTATTTTTTAATTTTAAGTTTTAAATTAGAAAATAATTAAATTATTTAAAATTAATTAGAATTAATTCTGTTATAAAGAATTTAAAAGAGAATATTTAAATATTTTACTAATGAAAATTAAAAGTATTTTTTTCACTTTGATAACAAAAACTAGAATAAAATAATTAATTCTTATTAAAATATTTTACTAAAATTTACTTAAAAAATAGATTAAATAAATAATAATTTAAATAAAATTTTAAGAATTGTAATATTATTTTCTTAATCTATAAAATTCATAAAATAAAAAAATAACATTTTTTAAAAAGTTAATAGTTTAATTTATGTAATTTTATAATCAATGGATTATAAAAGTAATGAATAAATTGTTATACAAATTTAAATATTTAAGATTAGATAAGAAAATTATTTTTTAATTAAAAATGTTTAAAAAATAAAAATAAAAAATGAATGGTAATTATATTTTTTAACAAGAAAGTTTCTTAATAGTAAACATTGTTGATGAAATAAAGTTCTGTAGATGCAATGCACGTGCTAACATCAATGCCTCGATTGCCCCCGTCTAGTTTTAATGCCTTGGAGTAAAATGGATTCGGATAAAAGTCATTTTATATTTATAGATACGGAATTTAAATTGTGCCAGAATTTTTTTGAAAAGATGTTTAAAAATAGTAACATATTTTTATAGTTTTTATCGCCTTAAACATTACTTAAAAATTCAATATAACATTCTGAAAATTCGAAATTTTTTCTTTTATTTATTCATAAATCAGATATTTAGTCGATTTTAAAGGAATAAAAATATAAAGTATGAATATTAAATATTAATTAAAATTACATTATCTTAATGCTCTCGATTAGAATAATTTTAAATTTAGAAATTAATTCAAAAATTATTAATATATAAATTGATTTATTTATAGTCAAGAAGTATTTATACCTTATATAATTATATAGTCTATGTTTATAATTAATTACAATAAATAAATCATTTAATATTGTAATTTATCGCTACGTTCTACATTAAATTACTTATAGTAAATTTCCATAATGGTTTATAATCTTTATTTAGATCTGTTATATTAAATTTACCGTTAATTTATATTAGAATAATGAATTTTTATGTAGAAGAAGCGAATTTTATGTGAGTAACTTAAGCTTCAGTACTTTAAATGAGTTTATTTAATCACGCAGACGATTAAAGACGATTTGATTTTCTATTTTGATTTAGAAGCTATTTTCTATCAAAGTTTTATTGTCTTACTATTATACTTAATATCAATTTCTCAACCTTAGATATATCAATTTTATTTACACATTACTATAGAACAGAGTATGTTACAGTACTGTACATTTAATCTTAATTGCTTGCACGTAGAACTGAGCTACTAATTTAATCAAATTGTTAAAAATATTCACAAAATATACTTTAATTTTAAAACATGTAAAATAATTAAGTAATGTGTATTATCATAGAATTTATGTAGAAATTCAATTTTAGACTTCGTTACGATTACGATTTCTTTATAAATAAATGAATATATTTAATTACTTAAAGAAGGTAAAATTTTTAGAATATCTTACTTTGAAAATAACTCTTTGTTCTTAGGTAACTGACACTCAATCTAAGAATGGATAATTTGTCCAGCTTAGTAAGGACACTATGTTCAAAGGGTAGAAGACTTGCTAATGTGTCCAGTTCTGCATTTAATCTTTCACGATGCCTCTTACTTGGATTGGACTTCGTTTGGCAGTCTTTGGGCGGCACACGAACACTAAACAATAATATAATTATAATGACGTTAATGGCATAGATTTGCAAGAATAAATTAATGTTATTCGAAAATAATTACATTTAAAAAGCTATTATTAAAATATTTTTGCAAATTAAAAACAATTGAAAAGTAATATAGTTTATAATAATTTAATTAAACGAGATTGTATGAATTGATTTGGCTCTTTAAAATTTGTTTAGATGTAAGCTTTAGGCAAAAGCCTACTTAGCTTATGTGCTAAGTAGGCTTTTGCCTAGGGTCTCGCACACATTGAAATATATGCTTGCGATATCCTGACTTGACCCAGTATCCAGAATATTGTACTAATTAAAATGCTAGTACAATGTCAAGTTCCGTATGATACCAGCTTTATGCAAGCACATAAGAAAGACCTCGCAAGTCTACGCTTACTTCGATCTAAATCAGACACGACACTTTGTTCAATTATCAATTCACAAAAATTTTTTAACTGTATACAACAGCAATAAAAAATTCCAAGTACATTAGTTACCTCCTTGTGACTATTTTTATTTAAAGGTAACATTAATGTATTAAAAATTAATTGTCTTATTAATATAAATTAAATTATAGTTTTGGTAACTCTTATAGCTTTTAAATATTTTATTTCCTTTCTTTATATTATAATTAAAGAAAAAAATAATAATAATCTACTCCGACAAAGAATTCCTTATAGTTTCAAGGAGGAGCAATTCTACGTTACGGTTGAATGTAACATTAGCACTTTCTACAACACTCAGCTTAATTTAAACGAAATTATAGATGCCCAGAAGAAAATCACGAATGTACAACACGAAAAATCAATAAGTAAAGCGATGATTCAGTAGATAACAATAAATATAAAGAAAGGAATAATAGTTCTAACACTGTTTTGTGTAAACATAACGTAGCGAGATACTAAACGATAAACATATGCAATTCAAAAAATGTTTATGATGGTAGTACCGTATTATTGAGAACCATTTTCTAGCTATATTCTCTGTCTATCAAGAAAATTTAATCTGTAAACTAAATTTTTAACAACACTATGTGAATAAAATAAAAATTTCTTCGTAGAAAAACAATACTTCTTCTCTAAAGCATTAAAAGCCAGCGTATCGAATGTTAAAAATTAAATTTAATCATGGAACTAATTGACTTTATCAACTTTAAATTATTTTTATTCTTGAAGAGATTTTTCTAAATTTTACAGACATTGTGGTTATTTATACCTTTCCGGATTATCTAATTTATTATTTTAATATACAAGAATCGATCGGAAAGTCTACGGATATCAAAAAGTTCTTTTTATTGAAGAATCTCATAAAATATTCTTATTAAAGCAGTAGTATCTTATCTTGAGGCAATTTTCTAAGGAAAATTTACTCTAAACAGCTTAGAGTAAACGCATTTTCATAGAATTTATTTCAATATTTATGTAAAATTGATGCGGAATTTATAATATTGAAATAATATATTATTTTAAATACAGAAAAAATTAAGTTTAAGTAAAACACGAAAATAAACGATAAAAACTCTTTTCAATTCTTTAATATATTAATCTAAAATAATTAAAAATATATACATAGTTATAAATAAACCCATTAAATCTTTTTTATTAATAACTTTTTATATATTTTAAAATTAATTTTATGAGCCATTATATTTAACAGTCAAGTAACTGCTATTAATAATGGAAACGATCAAAGAAATTTATCATCCTGTCCTTTTAAGACTGTTAGTTATTCATTTAAGATTTTCTTGTAGCATAAAAGTTCACTAATAATCAATTTCTAATCTGTAGAATTACTGCTGGGAACACTGACATGACAAATGCACGTGGTGTGGACGACATAGGTGGCGCCGTCAGGCTCAGACTTTGGCGACACCTTACGGACAGATCAGAAGCGCCGCCTAACGGCAGAACTGTTTGTCATCAGATGAAAACTAGCGTGAGATGTGGACATCGTTCATCTGGCAATGTCTCTTCTATAGTTTGACTATAATGTTGACTAGTCTGTAGAACTGGTCTACAATATATTAATGGCTAAAAATTCCCACACTTCTATTTTTTAATCTTGTAAAATAGCATCGATATTAATAAATGCGGAACAATAAACACTTTTATCATTCGTGTCAAAATATTTAAAAAAAGTTAAAGGAAATGAATGATCGATAATGAATAATGAAAACTGTCAATAAATTTTTTTATATCGGTAACTTAAAAACATTTTTAATAAGTTTAGTCCACGTTTAAAATTACATAATCAAATTATCATGAACATTAAAATAGTTTGACACTAGTTTTTATTAATAGAAACTCGTCTTCTTCATGTATGTTTATCTGTTAATAATTTACACAGAAATTTTTTCGGGGGGAGAAAATAATTGATCTTTCTAATTCATGCGATTTTACTTCTTTTAAAATTCTAAGCAGAAATCTGATCTTAGACCTAAGTATATTCCTTATTCTCAACAAGTTTGCTATGACGATAAGGTAATGGGCCCTAACTATCTGTACGCACTTGATCCTTCGTGTTAGCCTGGAGGAATGTTTTTACCTTCCAATTTTACTTCGGGTTACTTTCTAACTTCCTTTCTTGTTGAGACTATTAATTGGACAGATTTATCTGTAGTCTAGTAATAGGTTTACTTGTGATCAAGTTTATAAAAGTATAAAATAATATGAATACGGCTTTTTTAATAAATTCATTTATTAAACTTCTTGATTAATTTAATACATTTTATTACTCAACATTAATAGCTATTAATCTTGTAAGGCAAAAATACTTATGTTTTATTACATTCTATATTGCTAATAATATTTTAATTTTTATTTCAAAGATATTAATTGATTTTCTTTTGTATTATTACTGTACTTTATCAAGTTCAGTAAGAAAATTTAATTTTAAATGAACTATACGAGTATGTTTTAATCAGTTATTACACATTATATATATGATTTAAGATAATTTAAAAGAAATTGATTTTTAAAAAATGACGAAAATTAAGATTTAATTTAGATGAAATTTCATCTAAAACTGTTTCATCTAAATTAAGATTTAATTTAGATGAAACAGTTTATATTTAACATTATTTTAGCTGAAGTCATGCACTTATTCGTACAGTTGTAATTTGGATGCTCATCATAATCAATTGTGCAACTGAAGATATTCCAACCATGTTCTCGATAAAAAGATTTTGCTACTTTCTTGCGATTATTTGCACGACATGTCTATTCTCAAGACAGCCGTGATTTCTAATTGATCTCGTATGCCCCGAAGCAGAATAAAAAATCCTCAGTAAGAACCTGGTGCTACTACATCAAATAGACCGACTGCCATAATTCATCCAGATTGTGCTGTGTGCAACACAAGGGAACTTTGCTGACGTTCAAGAGATAGAGTCTTTTCGATAAAAGAGGCAAGTAAGAAGGGACCATACTTCATGGTGGGCCAAAATCTTTTACTAAAATGTAGACAATTCTTGTGTTCACCAGAAAATATCAATGGATAACAGGGTGCGAAATTAATACTTTAGTTATCGCTCAACATTAATAATAACCGCTTGCAAAATGCAAACATTAAAGATTACGTGGTTGTTGATACTACTATAATTCAATTTTTATAGAATTTAGAATAAGAAAGGTTAAATCTACTTAAGAAGATTACGCCTTATTTAAACAAAGATTTTGGACTTAGAATTACATAAATATATTCAAATTTTTAAAATTACTTTTTAATAAAATGTTAAACATGTATAGGCTATAATTAGAAATTATAATAAGATACGCTACATTTCTTGAATTATTGCCAATTTTAAATCGAGTTAAAGTGATTTTGCTATAAGACATCATCATTATCAATCGATGACATATATTTGCATTTCATGGAAAAGATTTACGTGTGGTCGTGCTACTTTGCTACGAGTATGTGCAAGTTACATATAAGGGAGGCCAAGAGTTTGCAGTTCGACAACTTCATTATTGCCACGAATGCTGCCCTTCAGGCTTTCACGAGATTAATCCAGCATACACACCTCTTACATTCCTGACTAGATTTTTTTTTTTTACTTGAATTATGGTTTCTTTATCCTTATAAAATTTTCTGCACAATTATTATAAAAGGGTGGATTTTGAAGAATATNATTTTAATAAATATTTTTTAATGAAAAATTAAATGATAAATGATCTTAGTTTGGATTTAAATTTCCGAAAATCGCATTGAAACTACTTTCCCAAATTAAATATAATAAATAAATTGTGTTAATGAAAATTTATTACATTTGTTTTTATTTCTAAGTATATTTTCATAGATTTGTCTAGATACATTAATATCAAATCGTTACTTCACTGATAGGAATGAGAATAACACCTTTAAATGGATAAAATAATAATAAATATTATGATAATTTACAAAATATAATAAAAAAAGCATTTAATGGAAGTTATGACACTCAAATTTACTGAATTTTATCCCATTTCATGAACTATTAACCTATTCTTTCGAGTATTGTATATCTTACAGGCTTACTTCATACGACCTCTAAGTAAATGATCATGATTTTGTAACACTTAAAAATGTATTGTATTTTTTAAAATTTAATTCTATGCAAATTACCATTTTTCATTTTAAAATATATGCATTTTCCCAATTAGAAATTTCGCTGCTTTCGTTTCAAAGAAAGCATCGTCATTATAGAACAAGAGAAGATATTACGTCGACTTTAAATAAGGATTGAAGAGTGACGTCATCAGATAAGTCAATTTACATACAATCGATCCGATCCATCACGTGGTCGACAAGTTGGATAGGTGGATCTTCAACAATCGATCTACATTGATTTATGATGAGGATAAACATTCTCTTATTTTCTTCCTTTTTTCTAACTTAGTTACAATGCGAGAGATAACATTGACTTTCAGACTAACTTTACATTAAATTAGAATAGAATAGAATAAGATAAAAATTTATTATCGTGTCCTACATTATATATTATTTTTT